CGTAACATACCTTTGACGAGCTTGATCTGTCCAGGAAGAGAGACTGCAGCACGACCGTAATAGTAATAGCAGGATGGTTTGCCCTTAGCATCGTAGGTCTGAGCGACTACATCTTTCGCATGGATTGTCAGCGTTGCTGAAATCGTTCTGAATTCTACCTGTTTCGCCAGCATGACTTGAAAACGAAGGGGATAAGAACGGTTGTTCCTCAGACCCCTCAAATAGATCCCAACCCGCGACTACTTGTTGAAACTCCTTCCAGCTCTGGAAGTGATCGGTTTTCGATTAACTCGGACAGCATCGCGAACTCAACGCCGTTCCTCCTCTCCAGTGTAATGTGAAAACGGCATCTGACGGCAGTGGTATTGTTTTGCACACGCCTGACCCTTGAGAGGGGTGGGGGGGGGGAGGGACGAGAGCCGTTCTGATCTAGAAGATCAAGCACGGCTTGGACAACCGATTGTACCGAAGATGGCTAGCCGGCAGCAGGTGGAAGAGGGTACACAAAACTGGTTTCCCGAACAAACACATCATAGAGAAAGGGCTTCTTGGTTGTTGTATAGCCCGGCGCGCATTGCAACACCTTCACGGTTTCTAGGTACCATCGCATGGCGCATCCCACCAATCGCCTATTTCCTCCGGGAGGATGTCTAGGCCAATGCATCTAACAAACTTACGCTCAGTAACATCGTCCAGTTGAACGACATTATTCACTCCATCCACACATGGTGCCAGATTAGCCGGTGGCACGATTGGTGGGGCAGCATAGGCGATAGTGACGAGAGCAAGACCGAGAACAAGCAACGACATCCTGCAAAGGAGGGGTTTCGAGAAATCCACATGGCATATGGTAGGGTTACGGTAACTAAAGTACAGCGAACGATTTCTAGGTAGTCAGTGCAGCGGAAGCTGCTTATATTCGTATGGTTATCTAGGTGATTTTTGTCTGAACTGAGGTATTTCCAACTGATAACTGATAATTTATCACCCCATCTGTCGATGAACGGAATCTGACCCTTTGCACTTTTGAAGTGATTAGCGTCGACGTTACTACAATTGCTCGCAAGGGTTTTTGAGAAGATCCGAAAACGGCACAAGAATGCTGAGTAATCAGAGCATGCTTCACCTTTGCCGGGACTCGAACATGGAACTCTTATTCAAGTGTGCTACCACTACACCATCAAAATATCAGAAGACCCGAAGTTTCAGCTGTCTAGTAAAGGGGGCGGTTCGCACGGGCCCTTGAAACGGGAAAAATCAATAATCAAAAAAATTTCACGGGTCTAAATACGACCACCTTTCTCCTCTCAGCAGCCGAACACGCGTACTCGTTGTGATTTCCACAAAGGGTAGTGTGCCCTGACTGAGACGAGAGGTAGATGACGTTGTCACCTGGCTGATAAAGTTCCATTTGTCCTCCTAGAGGGACCATATCACGCTGGTTTCCCATTGCTGAAGTGTCAATAGTGTGGAAGAAATAATACTAAACGTCTGCTCAGTATTTCTTAAATGACAATGGGAGGAGACCGGTGATGAGATGGTTCAAGTACACGCCAGAGTCTGGATATTTCTTAACAGTCGGATCGCACGGCTCACGCCGTGCTCTCCTCCTTCTCTTGAGCTCGGCTTCGCCGAGCTGGCCTGGCTTCGCCAGGCACCTCCATAACTTTGACGAAATTTCTTCGGTAGTGGGCTGCTCATAAGGCGCTGTAGTGATCGAATCGTAACAGACAGAGCAAGGCTTACGATCCCGCACAACTCAGCACGCGCTTCTATTTACAGCGGCGGTGTAGTCCGCGCCATGACGCCCATAGAATACATAAATCTGTAGATAGATACAATGTGTAGTCGGCCAATACAGCGCAATATGAATCGCTCAGTGAAATAGCAGATTTCGTTTTCATTACCTGCACCGGAACACGAATCAGGGGCACAGCATTCGATGGGGATTTTGGTCGAGCTTTTACGACCCCCCCCCATGGCTCCTACGATGGCTGACATGGCTGACTATGGTTGTGGTTTATACTCGCCGAAAAGGGCGGGGGGGGGTAGGGGGGGGTATGTAGTAAGCAGTGCGACGTACATCGTACGGGCGTACATAGTAGCTATAACACAGTAAATTCATAAAAATCCATCAAGTGAACCACATAATTCCTAGCCAGAAATACGACCCCCCCCCTCCAAAACGTCCGCAAAGCGAGAAAAGCCGAGAAAAATCAACTATAAAAATAAATTTTTCCCAGCCCAAATACGACCCCCCTTTTGGCGGCCAAATACGACCCCCCCATAGGGAATCCCCAACCAATGCTGTGCCCTGACCTGCGTTTCAGGCGAAGTTACATACGCACACCCCCGCCCCCCTCTCCTCCCCACCCCCGCTCGTCGACATCGACATTATATAGTAGGATGAGTTCATTTTCTAAGGCTATCAGGGAAGTGATGGCTGAAGGAAAAGTATGCACACTGAGCTTTGATACCTGGGGGTATAGTGATGAGAGAGGTAATGACCCCTTATCGTTTCTTATTTCTGAAATAAAAATTGATCCTGTCACCCGTCATCAATGTCCCTATCACTGAAACTCTATAAGTTGGTAGTGTAAAGGCTCCAGCAATTTGACTGAACAGCATTGGCAACGCTCCTTATCAGCCCCTATCAGCTGTTATCACCTCATGTGCCGTGTCCCCATCCCCCACTCTATATCATTTCCAGAAATTAATGCCTAGCTGATGCTGTGTTCCGCGTTATGAGTATGGTGACCTTACCGTTCTAACTCATCTTATCAAATCTTATCAGCTGCTATCATTCCCTGTCACCCATCAATAATGTTCCTGTCCCACGTCCTATATCATACCTTGGAATGTCCCACTGTTACTGTGTCCCGCACTATGGGCTCGGTCACCCTCCCTTCTAAGGCCCTTATCGAATCTTATCAGGTGCTATCACATTCTATCACCCACCAAAAGTGTTCCCGTCCTGCCACGTATATCACTTCTTGGAACTGTCGTCCTATCTTTTCTGCGACGCTCGCTATGAATTTCGTGACAGACAGACGGACGCACACACACACACACACACACACACACACACACACACACACACACACAGCAACCACAACAACTGACAGACATACTTAGTGAATTATATAATATAGTAGGGATTGCTTGTTGCGTGCACATTATGCGAGAAGGTGAGCGCGCCGTGAGCCTGTTTGTTCTAGGGAACAGGACTTTCGAGAATAGGATCCGCGAGAGCTCGCCTATGAACAGCTGGTAGTCAGGTTCAGTCTGAGCCTTTGGTCTTGGTGATTCTTTTACAAGAAGTGCCATCATCGGTTACGGGAAATCACCATAGAGGCCGTAAGGAGACAAGGGAGCAGTCTCCACAATGAAAAATCTCTCGACACACTACAAATTTGAACGCAGCCGTTACCTCTGGGCACAGGAAGTTATTGATGGACCTCTTGACACACCAGTAGTTTTTTCCAGCATTTTCCTGATTTTCTTGGCGTTTTGTGTTTCTTTTGTGGGGTTTACTCCTCGTTCTTATTATGCCGTCTGGGTTTTTCGAGCTTCTCTTCCAAGCTTTTTGTGGTTAGCTCTCGGATAAATAGCAATGAAGGTGAAGTTTTTCTGTAGCACGAATGAAGAATAGCTATCAGAAAGGCCAGTTCAATTGTGCTTTGATCAGCTTGTCCAAGAAACGCAACATGTTTTTTGCCCAAACCATGCATATATGATACGAAATACGATAATAGTTAAGCTGTAATGGGCAGCTGACAGTAAAGTGCACCCATAAAGATAGCGATCATGTGATCTCCATTTAAGCTGCTTAGGAATAAATTTCCACAAAAAACCTAACAAAAGAATTGAAATCGAAGACTGATACAGACGTTAATTCCGAACTGATTGACAGCTGACACGAAAAAGATTCTTTGTAGCTTTTTGAAAATCCTCTTTGAGACACGGTTTTACCCTAGTAATCTTACTGGCAACGCCAATCAGAGAACAATCAGCAGCTAAAATGGCATAAAAACGTCATTCACGCGAAATAGCGTGACTCTATGTTATTCAGAAATCTGAGCAGTAAGCTCTGTACGTTTTACTAAAGTATAGCTGAAAGAATTTATTGAATTTCTATGTTTTACAAGCTTTACACACGCCTTATCCCTGAGACGGAGTAGGCGTGGCATTTGAGCATGGCATAGAATGGGTTACTCGTGGATATTTCATTTCGAGACAACTGTCATCTTGTTCAGTTGGACAGAGACATGACCACAGTTGTGTCGAAATGAAAACAGCTCACCAAAAACACATCGCCCCCATTCAGTTGAAGTGCCACGCCTACCACATCTTGAGCATACCTTCCCCACTCATTGGCGACATGGCGAAATAGAATTTTTGTGCCAAGCGTGGCTTCCAACCATCTCTACAGGGTCAAGAAACTGAAATCATTTTTGTGCGAGGAACCACTGACGCACCAAAACTGATTGGGTGGATGAAGACCCACTCATAGATCATTCTGGATTATTATATAAAATGATGAGTTATGGGCATAGGTCAGACAGGACTCGAACACGCATCTCCCGCTTACCAGGCGCTTGCGCTATCCATTACGTAATGGACAACGCAACCGCTCAATAAGCACGAGATGCTGGTTCGAGTCTCGTCCGAGTTCTGACTTCTGTCAGTAACTCAGCAATTTTGTAATAACTTTTGAAGCGCGCACTGCAGAGTTAAAGGGTAATTATCGCGGTGAAAACTTCTCTGAGTAGGACTAAGATTGCGGAACCCCTCTGAAAAACGCACTGGTCAGCTTCGGATGTTCTATCCTTCCAAACAGCTGAACATTCAACTTCATGAGTTTTGCTGACCGCGGTTTGTATGTCACAGCTGCTGTTGAGAGTCTCTTGTTGAACTGCAAAAGGTTTCACGACTATAGTAATATTTTATATCGCTTCATACACTGTATACACCAAAAGTACAGTTTCAGATCTCAGTTCGGAACCTAGCAATATCCCAGTTTCCTTCGAAATCGACTGTAGTTACGGGTACGACGACACCGAGCACCTTAGGCTCCGACGCTGCAAAGCTCAGGTGCTTGTGGGCGCGCCTTATCCCTCGGGGGCGCCCTTCTATGCTTTCTCTGGACGGTTTCTGCTGGATTCTACTCTAAGAACTTCTGCTCCTTTGCTAGTATTCCGCCTTTAGTGCTGCTATTTCGCACGGACAGCCATTGCACTTATTACTCCGAGATGCGCGACGCGCTAGCGGATCCGATATAAACCTTCACTGTTCATCTCTCATTCGAGTCTACGGGCTAATCAAGGCCAGACTCAACCAGACGACTGAACTCCAGGATTAAGCTTTTTCGCTTCTCCGTGCGGTCAGGTCTTACTTGATGTCGTCCAGTTGTTCAGGTTGATCTAGTAGCAAGCTCTCAGACACTATATCACAGAAGTTGACAAAAAGCTATGCTGTCTTCTGCACTGCTGAATTCCACTTCGACTTCTAAAGGCTAGGAAATGAACCTGGTGACTTCAGTAGCATTATATTAGGTTGTCGGAAAGTTCTTAGCGTTTTGCGTAGGGATGAGCATGTTTCACTTTAAGCGATTCCGGTAGCTGTTCTTAAATAACATGTCACTCAGTCGGATTTAATCGAATAGGCACCATGCCGATGAGGATCGTAGCACACTGTTTGCCAGATGTGACAGCAGTCGGAAGAAAATCCTTAATAAACAGGAAAACACGACGTTGCGATCCGATAGAATCCACGAAATCTACGAAGGTCTTTTTTGCCTGGTCTTAATT